GGCTCCATCATTGGCAAGGGCGGGCAGACCATCGTGCAACTGCAGAAGGAGACGGGAGCCACCATCAAGCTCTCCAAGTCCAAAGACTTCTACCCTGGTGAGCCCTGGCCCAAGTCTCAGACCTACGTCCCTCCTTCTCCCTCCCACCTGGGCCCTGAATGAGGGGGAAAGGCCGCCCTAGGGGCAGTGACAGTGGTGGAAGGCCTTCCTTCCCCCTAAGGGACAGAGCTGTCCCCAGCCTTGAAGGGTCTGGCCAAGCAGATGGGGGTGGGGGCAGGGCAAGACAATGGGCCTGCTGCATATTCATGAGCTCATTTGCATGATGTGCTGGCAGATGTGTCCCTTCCCACACACCTGCCCCCTCAGGTCAGTTGGAGGAGCTAGGGTGGGGAGGGGGGCAGGTGTCAGGGCGTCCCTCAGGGATTGGGGGCCAGCCATCCATGTTACACATGCCCCCCCCACTCTCCCTTTGGATTTCAGTCAGCCCGTCTTGCCCAATCTCAGTATCTCTGGTTTTCTTTTTTTTAAGATGACCAGTAACCGGATCTTAACCCTTGACTTGGTGTTGTCAGCACCACGCTCAGCCAGTGAGCTAACCGGCCATCCCTATATGGGATCCGAACCCGGGGCCTTGGTGTTATCAGCACCACACTCTCCCGAGTGAGCCACGGGCCGGCCCATTCTGTGTCATTCTTTATGTGCCTCTTTCTCATTCTGTTTCTGACTTTCCCATCTCTTGTTCCTTTAGTCTTCATTCCCATCTGCCTCTGTCTTCTCCTGCCCCTCTTTCTGCTCTTTCCTCTCTCCCTGTCTCTCTGGTTTTATCTACCTGTCTCTTGTCCTCTTAGTCTCCCATCCCATCTGTCTGTCTCTCTGGTTTTTTTGTTTTGTTTTGTTTTGCTTTTTTAAAAGATGACCGGTAAGGCGATCTCAACCCTTGACTTGGTGTTGTCAGCACCACGCTCTCCCAGTGAGCGAACCGGCCATCCCTATATGGGATCCGAACCCGCGGCCTTGGTGTTATCAGCACCGCACTCTCCCGAGTGAGCCACGGGCCGGCCCTCTGACTCTCTATTTGTCTTCCTTCTCCCTTCCCTCCTCTTTCCTTCCCATTCTGTCTTCCCATCTCTCTCCCCGTCTTTTCTTCTTCCATCGCTCATAGCCTCAGATTTTTCTTTCTCCCCCTCTCTGAGCTTTCTGTTCAATCACCCATTCAATCAATATTTAGCAGCACCCCTCAATGGGGTCATTCTCTGCTGGCATTGCCCCTCATTTCTCTCTGCTTCTGCTTGCTTCTCTCTCCCTTTATGTCTCTCTCTGTCTCCTAAGCCAAAGATCCCTCATGGTTTTTCTCCTCCCTCCAATCCCTGCCCTTTTTCTGCCTCTCCTCCGGCTCCATCTCTCTCCCCCCAACCATACAGCTTTCAAGTCCCCTCCACTCTCTCTAATCCCCCTCAATATCTCTCACCCCTTATAGTTGCCTCTCAAGACTTGAACTTCGACATCTAGGAATCCAGGGAAGGCCCCTTGAATTGCATCTTTGGTCCAGCATTGATTCTAGTTCATCCTTAATCCCCTTGAATTTTTTAGGTCAAACACCAGAGCTAGAGCCCGGGGTCAGGACACATCATTTTCTCTGTCTCTCTCTTTCTCTCTCTCTCTCTCCCTCCTCCCTCCACCCCCTACCTCCCATCTCACTAAGCAGCTTTGGAAAGGGGTTTAGAGAAAAATCTGGTGAACCAGGCACACCCCCTCCTTTTCTCTTCCACCCTGGCCCAGTTTCCCCTGCCCCTCTCTAGCCTATAAGATATAGATAAGACCTCTGTTTGGGACATTCATCCAAGGACATTTGGTTCCCTGGATCATATTCTGTACTATGAGACAGGTCATCCCCTCCCAACTCAATGACACACCACACAAGCAAGGCAGCTGAAAAACTCAAAAGATAGGACAGTCATTAGTTCTCCTAGGCCAAGCACTATTCAGACAAGCAACATGAGCCAGTGTCTCTCCCCAGCCCCTGGACATGTAGCCAGCCCCCATCCCCTCTCCTGTCATGGAACTTCCATGTCACACAGCAGGAGCTCCTGACTCAGAGATGCAGAACACAGCCCCCTACATCCTAGCCCTGTCCCTAGGACTTCCCAGAACCCACTGGAAATGGAGATGCTGCTACAGAAGACACAACACAGTTCCCTCTGCCCCTGGCTGACACCCTTTCACTCATTCATTCAACACACATTTTCTGAGTTCCTCCCCTCTGCCAGCTCTGTGATGGACAGAGATGGGGACACAGCATTGACTGAAATGCCCCAGTCTTGCTCTCTTGGTTCTCACAGCCTAGTCCAGGAGACAGACCCCACACCAGTGACAACCCAGAGTGGTCAGGGCTGTCAGGGAAGACCTGAGGATAGTGGGAGCCCAGAAAGGACATGTGATCCAGCCTGAGGAGGTCAGGAAGGACTCCCTGGACGAGAAGGCCAGAACAGTAAGAAAGAATGAGCTAGGTAAACATCAGAGAAGGGTACTCCATGAAGATGAAATCACCTATTCAAAGCCTAGGGAGCAGTTTGTTGTTCAGTGTGGCTGAACCTAGAGAACAGATAAGTAATGACAGTGGAGAAACCAAAAGCGTCCTCTGGGCCTAACAGGTTCACACATAAACACACGGACAGACACACTGCACTTGTGTGTCTACTACATGAAACAAAAACCTACCTGGCCCTTAACCCCAAGGGAGGGGCAGAACACACAAGGGTATTCCCTCTTTGGTAATGGGTCCCAAAGTCCCAGATTCAATCCTTCCAGGTGATACATGGAGAAACTAAGGCCCAGAAAGAGGCAGGTACGTGCCCAAGGCCACGCAGGCTCCTGAGCACTAGCTAAATCAACCTAGTGTTTCTAAAACCCCTTCTGATTTTGAGCATCTGCCTGAAGCTCTGGACTCTACCCCAAGAAGAAGAGACACAGACACAAGCAAGATTGTTTAATTTGTATTGATTTATAACATTCTTGCACCAAAGTGCAAAATCTTAAGTGACTACTTAATAAATTTATACATATTCTTTTTTAATGTCAGAAATGCAAAAATGGAGGTTGGCTGATTAGCTCAGTTGGTTAGAGCATGGTGCAGGGTTCAGATCTCCATACCAACCAGCCACCAAAAAAAAAAAGCCACAAAAATGAAACTGCAGTGACTTTATGACTCCCTCCGACACACACACACACACACACACACACACACACACACACACACACACACACACAGAGCTAATTACTCCATGCACCCCAAATTTAGCACAGGGTGGTGCAGTGGTTAAGAGCACAGACTTTGGGGCCGGCCCGTGGCTCACTCGTGAGAGTGTGGTGCTGATAACACCAAGGCCGCGGGTTCGGATCCCATATAGGGATGGCCGGTTTGCTCACTGGGTGAGCGTGGTGCTGACAACACCAAGCCAAGGGTTAAGATCCCCTTCCCGGCCATCTTTTAAAAAAAAAAAAAGAGCACAGACTTTGGGGCCGGCCCGTGGCTCACTCGTGAGAGTGTGGTGCTGATAACACCAAGGCCGCGGGTTCGGATCCCATATAGGGATGGCCGGTTTGCTCACTGGGTGAGCGTGGTGCTGACAACACCAAGCCAAGGGTTAAGATCCCCTTACCGGTCATCTTTTAAAAAAAAAAAAAAAGAGCACAGACTTTGAAGCCAGACACCCGGTTTTAAAACCCTGATCATTCACTACTGTCTGAGTAAACTTGGAAAAATCCCAAACCCTCTCCTGCTCAGTGTCCTTAGCAGGAAATCAGGGATAATAATATTGCCTACCTCATATATTAAATGAACAAATATATATGAAGTGCTCAGAATGGTGCATGGTGCTTAGTGTTATGTAAGTGCCAGCTGTTATTATTGGACACTTTTTCAGAGTTTAACTGAGCCCCTGCAAAGCCCCTGTGGGCTGCAGGTTAAGAACTACAAGGGGATGGGAGATCACAGACTTCCTGAGTTGGAAGGAAGCCTCGCAGAGATGGAGAACCTGGCCACTGCAGCCAGCCTCTCCCTGGGGCTTCCCCCTCCCCCCACCCACTCCCCAGTTCCCACCCTGACCCACACCCTTTCCTATTTACACCCAGATGGAGGCAGCCTGCACGCTGACTCACCCTTGGCTCAGATCGAGCCATTGTTCTGGGGTGGAGGGGAGTAAGAGTGAGGAGAATGGCCCAAAGCAAGTGGGAGATATCTACTATACAAGTGACCCAGAGACAGTGACACCCAGACACACAGCGAGGCTGGCATGCCAGTCTGAGAGATGGCAGGCGAGGGGTCGTAGCACCAGCATGGTGCACTGAAATGCTCACTGGACACTGACACTCACTCCCAGGTGTCCCTGACACACAGGCACACGGAGCCTGGCACACTCTCAAGACCCAGGGAGCTAACTAGATCCTGCAGACAGAGCCCCACCCAGGGAGAGAGACACACTCACACTCACACATCCAACACACCCAGGCTCACCCAGGCACTCACATTCTACTGCATACCAGTCATGATCGAGTATTCTTTGTCTTGCTGTGATACATACTCTCAGACACACACACACACACAGTCATCTAAACAGTCTTACATACTAACACCTGAGTCAGCCTGTCTCTCTCACTCCTTCTCACATTTACACACATCAGTCATAGAGACTTGTCTGTCTCCTGTACATATATACACACACACATACCTATATACATACCACACACCAATAATCCAGGTAGTCTTATGAACACCCACAGATGTTCTGTTTCTTTCACTTACATACATGTACACACACAGACATAGACACACATACCACCATACAGTCTCACAGTGGCATACATTCATCCTACAGTTCAGTGTCGCTCCATAAGACCCTTTCTTTCTTTCTCTCAAACTCTCACACACACTGAGCTTAGTCTCACAATTAGTATACATAACCTTGATCGTTACAGCAACACCCAAAGTCTTTCCCACATGCAAGGGTGCACACGAACATCTTTAACGGAATCACCATATCACATAATCTGTTTACATCATGGTCTCTCCTGCTGTTTCTCTTATACACACAAACACAGATTAAGATAATCTAGCCAGTCCCACCCAAGTAAACACACACACACACACACACACACCCCACTCACCCAAACAGCCTCACAGATACACACACTGGTCACAGTGTCACTCAGAGTGTCTCTCCCACACACATATATCCCAACACACTCAGCTTCTCTCTTCCCCATGCCCCTCACCCCAAAACACACACAGAAGTGAGGAGGATGCCCAGGTCAGAACTGCAGCCAATATCTGGAGACTCCAGCAAAGGCATCCACTCCACCCTCCTTTCCCAGTCCTTCAGTCCCTTCTCCTCCGAGAGTTGCCTTTGACCCACCCTGCTCTCCCCTATCCACACCCCTGCCTTCCCCCACCCCTCAGCCCTCCATCTGGTGGGTCCAGGCCGGCATTCATACCTCTCTTCTGCCTCCCCCATCCTCCAGCCCCTCCCCATCCTCTCCAAAAGCCCAGAGGCCTTCGCTGCAGGCTTTCAGGAGTTGCCATGGCAACAGGGCCTCATCCCTCATCCCCCTGGGGGTGGGCTGAGGACCCGGCCAGCCAGACCGATAAGGGGGTTCCAGTTACTGTGGCAACCATTGCAGGCCTGAGCTCTCTGCTTCTAGAAGGGGGTGGGGTGAATGAATGGTTGCCAAAGCAACCGGGGAGCCCGCAAGAACTGGGAAGAGGCAGCTGAGCCCTGTCTCCCCTGCCCAGGGCTGCTGTGAGCATCGCAAAGCACTTAAGCATCATTCTTCTATCCCCTGGCGTTGTTTTAGGGGAGGGAGATCAAGTGCAGATTATGAAACAGGGATTCCACTCATTCTCCCAGCTACCCATCCTGGCCTGGGAGCCCATGATAGCTTTCCCAGGCTCGCCGCATGGCCTAGGGTCAGTCAGGTCCGCTCTCTGGATCTCAGTTTTCCCCTTTTATTAAATGGGGCCTGTCTCTCAGGAATGTCCCCTTTCCTGTCTGAGTGTGCCCTCTCTTTCCCTTGCTTGACAGGAACCACAGAGCGGGTATGCCTAGTACAGGGCACAGCAGAGGCCTTGAATGCTGTGCACAGCTTTATTGCTGAGAAGGTCCGAGAAATCCCACAAGCGATGACCAAGCCTGAGGTGGTCAACATCCTTCAACCCCAAACCACGATGAACCCCGACAGAGCCAAGCAGGTCAGCTGGGCAAAGACTGGGTTGCTGTAAAGCCGGTGAGGTTCATGAGATGACACTACTCCCACATCACTGCATTACTGTGGGGTTTCAATGGGACAAGGCTGATAGAAAGTTTATCAATCAAATTCGTGATAGTGGTTAGTATCATTGTTAGGGAGCCAGCCCTAATACAGAAGTATAGACAGGACTTCAGACCACTTGGACTGGGCTTGACTCAGAGACACGGTGAAGGTCTGGGAGAATTTGGCCCGAGCCCCCACTTATCCCTCCTCCCTGGGATTCTCTGGATCCTCTTCTCCTTTCCACTGCATCCCATTGTCTCTCTGCCCAACCTGCCTCCCACTTCCTGTTCTCGCCGGAAGTGACCTCAGTGACAGCCCGGCCACGTCCAGCATAGTTTAGAAATGGCCTCTTATTCTCCCCCTTCCTATAACTACCGTTTGGGGGTAGTGAGAGTGTTTCGTCAGCGTTAGCGAGAGAGGGGGCGGGTCCCGCTCCTACACGGCCCTCTCCAGGACGGGCTGGAAGGAGGAGGGCGGCACCCCTCGGTTGCCTCAGCTACTGGGAAGCGGTGGCGTAGGGGCGTGGCAGGGAGCGAACCAATCGCTTCTCGGCTCTCTCCGGTTGCCATGACGATGGTGCCCAAGGGGTAGGTGGGCTCCTAGCAAAGCCCCTGACAGCTCGGTCCTGACCGTGGTGGGGCCATGAGGGAAGGGAGCACGGGGCTGGCCGTGCGCGCTCCCCGTTTCCTCTCCCCTCTGCACTCCTATATACACGCACGCTCCGTGCAAAGGGGGTGAGAAGCTCTGGACTGTTGGGCAAGCCACTGGCGAGGTTCCTTAATGTCTGCCTTAGAGGCAAAGGCAGGAGGGAAGGCTCGGTAAAAGGAATCTGGAATTCTTAGGTTCTGTCGTTGCCTTGAGGTGGGGGAGACCACGGGCCTGAGTTCCCCTAAGCTCCTGGAGAAACGGCGGGCAGAGAGCCCTGGAGAAGCGCTGTCCGGTGAATCGTTCCCCAAAAAGGCTACGGGCTTGGGGCTTGGAGCGAGGCTGCTGTCCTTGGTGCTGAAGCAATTCAGCGCCTCGTGCCCCGCTAGGCCTCTCTCGAATCCTTTCCCACCAGTAGGGCACAGCTTACTCACAATTTAAAGGAAGGTGAAGGTATTGCCTCTTCCCTCTGCCTTGGTCGTGGCCACAAGAGGCTCTGGGTTCATCAGAAGTTTGTGGATGTTGCAGAGAAAATGGGGTCAGCACCATCTGTGCCTAAGCCTTCCATTGCCTCCCCCTAATCCACAGGAACTCTGAGACAGTGGAATCGAAAGGTTGTAGAAACAGGATTTATCCTCTTCTGCCTTATTATTCGAGGGCTTCAAAGAATGACCGAGATAATGGCTGAGTCATCTGAAGTCAGATGTTGAGTGGAATCCTACTTCCTACCCGTGTGACCTTAAGCAAGTGACTTGATTTCTCCATGCCTTATTTTTCTCATCTGTAAAATGAGATTTATTATGGTGCCTATGTAAGGGTGGTGGTTAGCGTTCACTGACGTTTGCAAAAGCACTTAGCTTGTATGCCTAATGCATAGAAAGTTCTCAAAAATGTTAGCCGTTGCTATTGTTATTATGGGATTTTTTTAGTCAGGAAACAGGTATACTCCCTTTTTGTCTTGGACTTGCTATGTTACTCAGAGCCCCCTCCCATTCTGTAGGCCTCAGTTTCTCTTTCTGTACCATGTGGAAGCTGGGCCAAACCAGAGATAATAAACTGAAATGACTCCAGAATTCAGAAAGGAGGCTGAAGGCTGTGGTCCTCTGGAGAGGGTATGTCATCCTTAAAGGCGACAGCTGTTACTCAACTCCTCCAATTCTGCCACTTGGCAACATGGACATAGTATTTGCCACATCTTCCAAATTTTTCATAATCTTTGAAATCAACTGATTTTAAAAGGCTGGCTCAGTTTTTAAAACACTATGAAGGGCCGGCCCGGTGGCGCACTGGATAGTTCGCCCGAGGGTTCGGATCCCACATACAGACCGGTTCCCGCTCACTGGCTGAGCAAGGCGCGGGAGCAACACCGAGGGTTGCGATCCCATTGCCGGTCCCGGTCCGGTACGGAGGCGACACTGAGGGTTGCAATCCGTTGCCGGACACGGAAAAAGACAAAAAGACAAAAAAAAAAAAAACTATGAAGGTCAAAGAAAATATGGCTGCAAGCTGGCTATGGCCTGAGGACCACCAGTTTGCCACCTCTGAGCTAGACTGGTAATTCTAAGCCCTAGCTGATATCTGAGTTATCTAGGTAGCTTAAAAAGCAGGTTCCTAGGTTCCAGCCCAGAACCACTGTATCAGAATTTCTAAGGATAAGGCCTGGGAATCTGAGCATGGACTCGGGCCTGGGATCAGATCTTGACTCTACTACTCACTACCTGTGTGACCTTGTGCAAGATAATTCTCTGTACTTCCATTCTGCAGTCTGCAAAATGTGATAATAATAGCACCTACCTTATCGGGTTATTGTGAAGACTAAATAAGTTACTATAAGAAACTGTTTAGAAAAGTGCCTGGCAGGGCCAGCCCCGTGGCTCGCTTGGGAGAGTGCGGTGCTGGTAGTGCTGAGGCCACGGGTTCGGATCCTATATAGGGATGGCCGGTGCGCTCACTGGCTGAGCGTGGTGCGGACCACACCGTGCCGAGGGTTGTGATCCCCTTATCAGTCAAAAAAAAAAAAAGAAAAGAAAAGTGCCTGGCAAATGGTAAGCACTGTGTTAGCTGTTGCTGCTGCTCCTGCTACTGTTATTACTGTTGCTGTTAGTAGTAATCGTAGTATTTGAAAATTTCCGGGC